GCGGAATAGAAGTGGGAGTTTCTACGTTCTTAAAGTTCGTAGGTGAGCCTAAATAATGTAAAACTGAGTACACTATTGGAAACCCTACGTTTGAAACTAGTTTGTTTTATATTTTCATGCTATACTGATTATATTTATTTTCTTAATTTAGACAAAACATGTTTCACTTGGCTTCGTTGCAGTTTTGATTGTTGTGTTGCTGGCCTTTTAAGGATATTCAAATAAATTGATTAATTGATGTTGAGCAGTTTAGCTGATTATTTAGCGAATTTAACTAAGCTTCACTAAACATTTAAATCGAACGTGAACGATTATTATTTAAATTATTTTATGGACTTATTTATTTGTATGGATTAAGTTGTACCCGACGAGAAAGCACAAAGATGCAATTTATTATATTGTTTTCAGCGAAACAACACACAATTTTTGTATGACTGTAAGAAGTGCGGATTAGTGCTTCATTAAATTTCACAATATTTTTTGGCTATGCTGTATTAAACACGCAAAGAGTGTAACAAATTCTATACAAGAGCTGTACAGTGCACAACTAACTCAGCTGGCATTGCCTTTCACTTTTCACTCAATAAACAGCAAAATTGAAGTTGGGACGCAGTGTTAGCTTTAGTGCAGATTATTTACTCTAAAGTCTAGCCACGCCGAGAGGCTTTTCATGTCATTGTTTGGGTTGCTTGGCTAGCTGGGATAGTGCACAAGAATTTAAGTGATAAAAAAACCATAAAAATTATTCACTTATAAAAAGAAAACCAACACAACGCAGTGCTTATATACAATAAAAACTAGAAAGTAGTAAGTGTTTTCTAGTCGAGTCGAGAGCCGCCGTCTACCATATTTTCTGTAAACAGAACTGGTGCAGGCTTTGAACGTGCTACTTCTTCGTCACAACTCCCTGACATATAAAGGTTTTATAGTTAAAATAAGCTATATTTTATGGAAAAGCTGGCTCGATCTAGCAATGTCAATTCGTTTGTATTGAGTCGACGATTTCGACAACTACTAAACTAAAATATTTGAAACGTGAATTACAAGTTCTTAAGCACCTTTCATATCTAAAATTATCTTTTGGTGTCTCATCTTATTACTGTCTATAAAAGTCGTCTTATTGGGGTTTGGTACAATACATACATCTGGAATTCAATTATTATTGGATTTAAAACTTATAAGAAATGAAGAAATTGCTTTGCAGGATACCTTCCTATTGGGTGATCCAAAGTAGACTCCTTGAACTTGTTTCTATGCATAAACGATGGCATACACGGAGAATTGAATGAGAGAGAGAGAGAGGGGTTGTCCAACAAAGACTTTCAATAAAAAATACAACACTTATAAGGTTACATTGCACAAAGTTAGAGAGCTATTAATTTATCTGCCTTGACAATTTGTCTTTTTTTAAACGTAGCTTAATTAATTGATCATAAATTCCCAAATGCGATAAATCGTTGAATTTAATTTTTTTTCCACTAATGGTAACTTTTCAATGAACTTAATTGAAAATGGGCTTTTGTAATTCACAATTGTTAATTGTTGTAAATTGTTTCTTTTTTAATATTACGTTGTTTTTTGTTTATTTCTTGCTGTTTACATTTTGTGAGTAGGCAGAATGTCTTAACAAGTGATCTGTGATATTAATGTTCCTTGAGTTGGACAGATTAGATTGAATAAATGGTTAATTATAAGTAAATGGAAATGTTGTCGAATCTGTTTTTACTATCTTAAGTGATTATTTACCTATCTTAAATAATTCGCTTGTCCATCTATATATTGTCCATCGATCTAGATCTGTCTCACGACTAGGTTGATCTCGCATCCAATAAGTTTCTTCTTAGCAATTTATGTCACAATTATATACAAAAACTGAGAAGTACACCTTTTGTATATGGCTACACTTCGTCATTCCAGAATTAGAAATATCGGTCAAAGTATGGATTAGGGTATCTCCTAGTCAGAAGCTGATACAACTCTTAAAGCTGATAGTTTTTGAAGTTTTAAGCGTTTGGCGTTAACATTTTTAATAATTGTAGTCATGGACCCAATATTTGGGCAGACTCTGATTTAGTTTAATTTATGCACAAAGTATTGCGTGGTTGGTTACAAGATTTCAGGTGCATGTCCCGTAAGTATTGACTAAAACATAAAAACATATTTCCATCCCCTTTAGTCAAATATTTCAAGTGTATTAAAGAGCCAGTATTTTTATAAACGAATACACCAATATTATATACATATACCTTGTCCACCTTCTACTTTCCAAAACAAAGATTTGGGCAAAACAGTTTCCATTGAGCTAATTTGGAGGCTTTTGGAAAGCGTGTTTTTTGTTTGAAATTTGGTCTTACACTTTGGGGTAATTATTCTATTTAATGTTAGTTAGTTAAGCAATGAGCCTGGTAATTTGTCAGTTAAAATGCAGTAAAACAATAAACCAAACCTCTATGTACAATACACACGTGGAAAATGCTTACCCTAAATCTAAATAAATCAGAAAAAGCAGCCAGCAAGACAAAAAAAAAGAAATGGAGTGCCCGTAGCTATAATTAAAATACACAGTTCAAAAAAAAAAAAAAAAAAAAAAAAAAAAGAAAAGAAAAGTTGTCTGCGTTGTCTGAAAGGCGTTTAAAGCTACAACTTTATGCCATACACTCACCAAATTTGTAATAGATAGGCGTGTAGAAAAGCTGTACGAATATTTCTATACAACAGAAAAAGGTATCTGGATTTTTGAAAGGAATAGTACTGTATGTATTAAACTGGAATACCTGACAAATACAATCAAATACAAATACAAATTAAAAAATGATTCAAGTTTTGTTTTATCTCTACTATTGTTGGGTGTCCAATCTGACAACGCCCACAGTTTCCAAAGCATAATGTATAAGTGAATAAACTTGGTTTCCTGACCCAACAAAGCATACGATGCTTCTCAACAATTAGGCAAGGCGTTGCAAAGGAGCACAACGATGAGCAGAAATATCTATGAAAGACGACCAATCTATTTTTAACCTCGTCCAGTAGGCTGGCCTACAGCAATGTGGGCTAGAGTGAACTGTGCATAGGCGTTGCTGCACTCCATTGGCCCGAGATGGTGTCATGTTGCACTCATAGCCTGACCAGAACTCCCAAGTTATAGTGAGTGTGTGGCATAGTAGGTCGTCATAGTTTCGTGAAGTAAAAATAAAAGTCAACAAAAGCATATTCAAGAATATATGTACACTTCCTGTGTTCCACGGAAATGTGTGCCAATTGCTCAAACAGAATGAGAAGCTTAAAAGTTTATAAATGCATTTTTGATTTGGTTGGAGCCAATTAAAAGTTGATTTCAAAATTGATTTGGTACCGGCAGCATAGCATATCAAGTTTCTCCTAATGTTGATGATGAAAGTGATTTGGTATATCCAAGCCATAACCAAATACAACATGCAACATGCTGCACCAGCCGTCCGTCTGTCTGTCAGTCAGTCTTGAATTTTTTTAATATTTGAGAAGCCGACACTCGGCTTCTAATGGACAGGCTCTAACGGTAACACAGAAAAGCTACACAATGAAAACCCAAGATTCACTAAACCGTAACTACTTTGTACATTGGTTAGAGCATGAAAGAGCAATTATTTTCGCCGTGACGAAGATTAAATGCTCTTGTATACAATACTTTGGGCAACTTCTCTTTTCGACTATTCGAAGGTACGGCATGTGTTAAAAATAGAGATTAATATAGTTATATATATAACTATATATATCACAAACTAGAAAGTCAAAGATATTATTGAAACGTTTCAATCTGTGATTATCTCAGCGTGGTTTTCTTTAATCAACTGTCAGAGACTGGAATAATGTAAATTAAATAAAATTACCTTTCGCCAAAAATAATATGGCTTTGAGCCGAAGATGTCATTAACTTTGTTGATTAAGATAGTCCTTAAAGCGAACGTAAGCACTTGGAAAACCCTTTACAACTGTTTGCCTTTAAACCTTTTATTTAAAAAGAAAAAATACAATCAACACAGACAGCCAATCCATTCTGAATTTTCTAATGATTGCCAGGTACATTGTGACACGCAAAACACCTGTAAACTTTTGCACAGCTCAAAACAGACTACCCATCCGATTTTCTCCAATATTTCAACACACAGATAACAGTGCTTTAGTCGGGCATGGCAGACTAACAGATACCTCAGACCTTGTGCCGAGCAGTTGTTTCAATAATATTTTTACTATATAATAAAATACTTAATGGGGTCTTTAGAGTCTCCATCTGAAAATTTGCAAAATGTTTGCAAAAACTATAGGTGCAAACTGTAAATATAACTTGTATACCTTAACGGAAAAACTGTTGAGTTTTAAAGTGACCTAAGTTGTTACTTGAAAAGCTTAACTACTGAAGACGACACAATTGAACTACATACTTTAATTTAAGATATTTTGTAGTAACTTAATATACATATGTATGTATATATGACTTAAGTTCTTGTCTTTTGTAAAAATGATGTTGGAACTGCTGTTCTGCTCACGTTACTAGAGAGAGAAAATTAGAGAGAGGGAGAGAGAGAGTTATTCGGTTTTAACTTCAATCAGCTGTACTTTGTTTTTTATTTTAAGACGACAACCCGAACATAACTCAAACAGTAGACGAGTATATACTAGTGTACATGTATTTGTGCACATGCATACGTATACTTACTAAACGAACTGTGCTCTCTACCTTTCTCTCGCTCAGAGAGCGCGCGAGTTTGTACTTGCTTACTCAGAGTTTTATTTTTTTTTTTGAATCGATAAGAGTTGCCCGGTGTTCGTGTAGCTGCCGCTGGTGGTGGTAATAAATGCTTTTCACTTTTCCCGATGCACTCCAGTCATCAGCTTCATATTGAAGCGTTCACAACGTCAACGAACGCAAAACCAGACAACGTATACAGATAAATGAAAATTTAAAAGCACTTCGCTTTCATACTTTGCAATTTGTATTAAAGCATTAATCCGAATCTAAATCATATCATTTGAATCAAGTTTGTGTATTCTAAAAATATTTATAATTAAATATAAAATAAAAAAGTGAATAATTACTTTTGTGAGTGTTCTCTATTCCTTACTAAACATTATAAACTAAATAAAAACAAAAACAAAAATTGAAAATTTGCAAATTTCTATCGAGTTGTGAGCAGAAAGTATTTCCAACAAAATTATGATATTTGCATCTGTGTGTCATTACCATATATATTTATTGATTTTTTCTCAAACGTGCGCACACAGCATCCGTTGCAGGCATCTGCTGCAGCACTTGCAGCATGAGTCATCAACGTTTTGCAGGTTCCTCTCAAAATTTAGCTGACGGCTCACACAGATTAAATTTGCAAATTTTGTCTCTATTCCTTAAACTTATTGTGCTCGTGTGTCTTTAAGATTTCGTCAATCTAAATACATCAATATATATTTATATATAAATTGAAACAGGATAACGCACATAAAATACAAATTTATAGCATGGCTACTTATGCTGCTTTCAAACATGTTGAGCTTTACAATGTCGGCAAAGCAAAAAAGAGGTAAGTTTTAAATTTCCAAATTGATTTCCCCAAATTCCTACGCAAATCCACGTATGAACACATATGCGACTGTATACATGAAAATATGCAGTTTTGTGGTTGTGCAGTAATTTATCGTGCATTCACCTTGGGCTTCCCCCACATAGGCGCATGCAGGTTCCTCAGCCGAATGTGCTAGCTGGCAGCCAAGAACGTATCTTTATTGGGCCTCTGCTAGCAGAGGCACTAAGACTAAGCAGTTCATTGATTTTTCGATTTGCTTTTCAATCCCTGCTTACTTTCTGCATGCAAAGTGTTTTCTGGTTGGTTTGCCTCTCAAACCAAAAACAAACCCGGCACTGTCTCTATTTCGAACATTTCCCTAATGACACGTTCTTTTTCTCTTTTCTTTACCATCACTAAAATAATAAAACGAGCAAGCAAGAAATTCTTTTGTGAAAGGTCCACGTGTAGAGTAGCATAAAGCCTTTTGTATACTCTGCTGCTCGCTAACTTAAAGGCCTTATTGTGTTAGGTTAGGAATATTATATCTTCAACAACAATAATAATTGGAATATGTTGGATGTGGAAATTATAATCTATACACTAACAATTCATCGTTAATATGAAATAAAATGCTCAAGTTAGATAGTTTCATTGTAGTTTTTCTGTTTGAATTTCAAAGAAAATAAATGCTGTAACTCGAGTTTCAGATCAAACTAGTTTCAGTAATACTAATGCCCAAACATAAAGCTCTTGACTAACTGGGTAATTGATTCTGTTGTCGTATTCATGTTAAGTTGGCAAAGCTGTTTTGATTAAATATTAAAAGAAAATTGATTAAAAAATGTGCATAAAATTGTAATACATATAAACGCTTTTCGATAAAAATTTATAAATGAATAATGTAAGATTAATCTTATACAGCATACTTCTACTAGTCAAATACCAATGTCAATGCATAACAATGGCCCCCTTTGTTCATAAGATTGATTTCTATAGAAAATATATTTCCCCAATGTTTCAAATGTTTTATTTTTCAACATATCTTATAAAATATACTAAAAAAATTCCAATAATGTTTAGTTTTCTGTAATAAATATGTTTGCATAATGAAAAATATATAAATGAGATAATAAAATTACATTTTACAACGTATAATTTCCGTAATATATCACTCTGTATATAATACTTTTGATACTAAGACTCATTATAGTCTAGAGCTTACAATTTGTAAAGCGTTAAGGCTTCATCTGATATACATATACATGCTTACAAAGTTGTATATAAAATTCCTTTTTCTATAAAGGAATAAGTAGTTGCTATGCCAACTATATTGATGTGCCTATTTAGGACAAACTGGTAAAGTAGTACAAATAAAAATATTACTTTTGCCAAAAATCGGTATATATCCGAAAAGTCATGGTAACGTTTTGGTATTCAATTTATATACTTTATATGTATTTATACATATAAGGTAATACACCAACTATATAATATATACATATATATAGGCATTCATATTGCCTACACATTAGAAGCATGTAACTGACATTATGAGTTGCGCATTCTTGAAGTATTTTCGTACCTTGCTGTACCTGTCTGAAATAGTTACAGTGGCTTTCCTATTCAGATGTTTGGTCGATTTTCGTTAAATGATCTGTAACAATTTATATTATGAAACTCGTTCTTAATCAACATTAGGTATTGCACAAGTCTAAATTGTTTAAAAATTAAAAAAAATGTGTTTGTTAAATCTGTTTCGATTATTCCTTGTAGACTATTTTATTTTTATTTCAAGATATGTATGTCGCTAGTACATTTCTTTTACTAGCTGCAGCAAAAACTATTTCTTAAATTTCTTTAAAAATGAAAACATTATATCCATAATATATATAGCTGTCTACAGTATAAGGTATCAGCTGTGATGAACAATCTTTGCAAAATTGGTAAACACACGATTATCGAGAGTAATGCATAATGCATAAATCTCATTCATGGCCTAAATGCTTTCAGCTCCAAAACTTTGGAATATATGTTGTTTTTCGATTTGACCCGACCTCAAGAGGGTTGAATACATACATTTTGGTAGATCAATAGAAGAGGTCAACAGTAAATTAGTTACTACATTTTAAGTTTTGAACTGTATAACTGTAGAATATACGCCTTTTATGGTCGTAGACAGCAAAGCCAATATGCTCATTTCGATTCGTTAATGAATATAAAAATAGTAGCAAATCGATGACGAACCATGAGCCGTCGATAGCAAAGTTTGGTAAGGGTATTCTTGAAATACCCTATTATAGGTGATTAGTAATCAGTAAACGCATAAGCTGAACCCTGCCTGCACAACTATATAAACTAGTGTGGTTGGCAACTTTCACTTTGCTGTGAAAAATTCGAATAGATTCTGAATTTATCCAGATTTGCTGATCTTCACACATATGCACATAATTGTTTGGTGGAGCTAACGTAGTGAGGCAACTTTTCTTTTTCTCTTTGCCGTTCATACACTTTCTATGCATATAATCGATAATTATTGATCAAGCGCTCAAAACAGTATCGATAATTGAAAATCTTGCTGTGAAGCCGTCAAACAGCTATACATTTTCAGATTCTCTGCGCGGTAAGCAATTATTTTAGACTAGGTACGTTTTTTACCATTAACCGCTTCAAATAGAAATTTAGGGTATGGTTTTTTTTTTTTTTTTTTTTGAAAAGTAACATGCCTTCATTATACACATAGATCAACGTCCGTCTGACTGAATTAATGTCCGTATAAATGACTCCATTAAAACATATATCGAGTTTCAGTTATTTGATCATTTATGACTTTGCCTCCCCCAGGGTCAGGGCATATATATGCTAGTCTTTCACACCCGACTGCTGTCATTTTTCTTTTTGATTTTAAGACTTGATCAATTTTTAACAACTTCGAAACATTCCAAATGTTTGCGCCGTCAATCTATCAAAAAGTGCAGCATCGAACAACAGAAACTCTGGTTGAATGCACAGCAGCCGAACTGCCGAAGCGCAGGGAAAGTAATACAGACAGTGGCCGTTCCATCAGCCGAGTCATCTAGCAGTCAGTTATTGTTTCTGGCATGTCAAGCAATAATAATGGATATATCTAATCAACGTTTTAGGGAAATCAACCAAATCATACAACAACATTGTAAATAACAAAAACAAAATGCAGCAATCGCACTCAATTTTCCTGCTTCATTTAAAAATTTCATTATGTTTTTGTTTGCGGTTGCACGTTTTAAATGAAACAAAGCAGCAGCATGGCAACAATAACGGTTTATTTGTTGCGCTCGAGCAGATCACTGCAGCCATTTAAAAGCAGCCCAAGCTCAATAAAAACAACAAATGAACTCCGATGAACAATTACTCGGACATTTGTATGTTACAGACGAATGAGCTCAAAGTCGTTATTCATTATTTCTATACTCTTTTCCCAAAAAGGGGAAAATAGTTAATTGGTTTTGTGCAATATCCGCGTGTCTGAAACTTCCGACTTAAAAATTTCTATTTTTTTTTTGTATTTGTTACTTTAAAAATAACAGAGAAATTGACTTTAATCCTTACGGCCAAATTATAAACATTGTTACTTATGTACATATCTATGTAAAGTGTATCAAATGAAAGACAAACTATATATCTCTGTCCCATGGAGTAAGGCTTTTATACTCCTTCACGAAGCGCATCAGTAATTAAGTTACTGTTGACCTCTTCAATCGACGTTCGAAAAGTCATAGTTTTGGAGCCTTAGTCTCATAATAGTGTATGTATCCACACCATTTATTTTGTTTTCTTTTACAAATTTTTCATCTTCCCCTGCCCCCAGATAGGGTTATTTATTCTTTGTTGATTGCCTGAACATTATAATGTAAGTTTGACAATATACACTATTGAATTGATTCATCGAACAATATTGGGTACAAAATCTAAGGGAGTTCCAATTATGGCGTATTTCCCTAAAGATGGAGAAATTATATGTGTCGATAAACCAAAGTTTACATAAAAACAATCAGAAACCCTTTTTTATATTCTCACTCATTGTTTATTTTTATATAAAACTTATACTACAATGACAGAATACTTACAAATGTTAATAAAAATCAGAAAATAAATAGTTCTGAAATATGGTTATATACAAAGAGAAGAGACTATATGATAGATGATATATATCCTATATATACCCAACAGAAATGGTAAATCAAGTGCGAGTGTTTGTCAAAAGTAAATCGTTGTCGCAACGTTAACTTAACATCAAACAACTTTTACTTTAAGGTTTCATATAAAAGTGTTTTAACATTATCGCTGAATTTGACTCAATGCAATTTAAGCTTTGTCTCGAATAAACTAGGTAAAATCTCTAAGTGTCTATTGACTGTCTCCGAGAGCAAGTTTAGCCAGCGTCGGTTGCTGATGGCACATGGACCATCTGCACAGCGAATACTTACCGGTCAAGTTTATTTTTTTGCTGTTTTTACATTCTCTGATCAATGGAAAAACATAATTTCAGATTTGCCTCTGAGCTGCATTGCATATGTGAAAGGCTTTCGAAAGTAAACTGACTTGCACTAACAGTTTCAGCTTCTCAACTACTGCATGTTTAGTCGGTTAACTAAACAGTTGATTTGAATTCTTCTTTTTTAATTTTAGAGTTTTTTTATGTTTAGTAACTTGGTGTATACCAATATATTGTTTATGTAAATTGACCGTTTCACTTGAATACCAATGTGCAAAAATATATATTTAAAACAAAAATTAAAACAAAAACATATATTATTGCACTACTATTTATTATTATTGTTATTATTATTTATTATTATTATTATTACTATTTATTATTATTATTATTATGTATTATTATTTTTTTTATTACTATTTTTTTTACTATTATTTAATCTTAGTAATTTCGAATAAATATTTGAATATTTCATTAATTGCTTTAGTTTTCTGTTAGTGATAGAGAAAATTAAGAACCTTTATATATTACACGTTTAGATAATAAAGAATCAAGAGAAATGGCTTAATCGAAATAAAATGATTTTTTATATGCTTTTAAAGTTTTAAAATTATGATTCTATAATCTCTAATTAGACAAAAACTAACTACAAAAATCTATTTCGACTTCCAGAGTATTGAGGGCGCCTGGTGGAGTCTCAAGTGACATTTTTGGATCCGATATGCCTCAAACTCCAAGGAACAGCAAAAACCTAATGGCCTCGAATATATTCTCTGCCGATAAAGATGCCGCTCAGAAGAACAACGGTAAGAAGTGCTTGCTGTATAATATTACAAATACTTTTACATATACATAGGCTCAATTTCGCTTTGTTTGGTATTCTTTACTACCCTTTTACATAAACTTAGAATGTTGTCTTACAAATGGTAATTTTTTTTAATAAAATAATTTGTCCTGATGAACTTTCTAATTGGTGATGCGTGATCTACTTATGATGCTGAAATTTGGTAAACGACGTATTTTGAAAACTAAAGGAAATCACAAATAAAAAATATATAGAACGAATAATAAGCAAATATTAAAAAATATATATTCATTCATTCACCATAATTTAGAAGGTGATAAACAGAAGCACAAGTTATAAATTGCTGTAAATGGGTTATCTTTTGAAGTTTCCAGATTCCAGATTTCCAGATATTAAAGTTCCTTTGTTCTCCAATAATGCTTTGACCATTTTTAATTTTCCGAACATTGCTATTGATAGCATATATTTTGATGGAATATTTCCCGTTTTCCCTTTTCTCTCTTTCTTTTTCTATATATCTTTACAGTGCGGCAAGGAGCTCACAGATTCTATTTCATTGGTATATAAATAAATATAAATTGTTGGACTTAACAAATCTTTGTTTTTAACTTTGTTATTATTGATTTGTTATTTAATAATTCAAGTGTGCAAAATAAATACAATGTTGTGACGAGTCACAGTTCAAAGAGGATCCCTCATTACGCTCACATTACTTTCAAGCACGATTCTAATACACTGCATACACACAGGCATGAGAGGCACAAATTGATCTTCACAAGTCTATTATGAAACTAAATATCAAACCCGCAATCCAAAATTAATTGCCCCTCCTAATGTATTCTTATATACTACAAGCAGAGCTGTTTTACGATTGTTCTAGTCGAAAAGGTTCGACTTTTGTCGTTAGCTAACTTATTTATTATATTTTATGCAAAATTTTATTTATTAATGTTAAAAAGCTAACATTATGATTTTTATTTTATTTTGATTTGGTGTGCAAACAAGACAAAACTACAATGATTTTAACTGAAAATTTTCTAATGTACAAACCAGGTGATACACCACGTCGAGGTCAAAAACCAGTTGACTCATACTCGCGATTGTTTGGAGAACCGGCTCGTCCCGTAACACCTGGAAAGAATCACATGAAAAGCAGCATTCCCTTTGGACAAAATCCGAATACTGCTCAATTAAATTCCAAGGGAAATTATAACGGAAAAAGTGGTTCCGTTTCATCTGCATCATCTTCTGTATCTTCTTCAACTGAGAATCTTAAAATTAATGGAGGCATAAGATCAGGTAAGCATTTCAACTGATGCACTAACTATTGTCATTATATTCTGAATATTCTTTATACCTCAGAAGGTAATCCCGTTACAGGAGAGGGATACAAAGCTGGCGGTACTGATTACATACAACCAGGTCATATCAACGGCGGGAGTCAAGTTATCAACAAGAATCGTATCCCACCTGGTGGTTATTCATCGGGACTCTGGTAATTCAAAATTACAGAGACTCCCGATAAAAGACAGCATGGTAGATGTGCACAGTAAATGAGCAGATAACAGACAGCCTTGCAAACAAATATATTCTCAAACAAAAAACGGAACCCCCTTCTATCTACATACGCAAAAACTAGACGTAGCATTTTAAGTAATAAGAAACTGCAGAAGACCATCCATATCGATTGATCGGCATTCAAACAAAAACTTGAAAAAAAAACCAGCAATTATACAGCATACGATCTATGTGTATTAAAAAATGAGACCGCTACGCTATAACAATGTTAACATAGCTGCTCAATGTCGGTCTTATCTGCATTACCAAGCCAAGAATCATTACACCACGAACCATTTTAATATTATATCAAAATATTTATTTATTTTAAATGTTGCTATATCCAATATTACATATACGTATGTAAACATATTATGTGCACTATAACATTTTGAATTTCGTTTATTTACAGTCTAAGCTCATCATACATACAATATATATTGTCAAAACCTTACACAAAATCATTCATTAAAAATGTACTACGATATTATCATTCTAATACTACGATATTAATATAAATGCCTTGTTCAGTAGGTAACGAAATAAAATTTACATTCATTTCTATGCAACACTCATTTTTTACTTATTTAACTCAATTAACTATTATATTACTCTAGGTTATTGAAATCATATCAGGCTTTATTTGTATAAGTGTTATACAGATGAAACGTGGTAATAATTTTCTTATTTCCGCTTTCCTCACGTCTGAGTGTTTTCCTAGATGCTTTAAGGGAAATGGATTATTTAGTCAATTTTGCTTTGCATTAACTTGCACAATGTCTAACGTGATCTAGTCAATACTGCTCGGGATGAAAAATGTCTATGAACTCCAATTAAGTTCTTATTACTATTATGTCTTAATAAGTTAAAATGGTTGCAAAGCCAAAACTGATTGATTGTTTCTTTTGGTAAGCTTACATTCTCGATTAGATCGCCTTTATATGCTGCATTTTACTATTTATTTTCAAATTATCCTAATTTTGTATGTAGTCTGTACAACAATGTCAGAATAGGAACAGAAAACTCACAATTCGGTTTCTTTATATAGTGGAATTCGTGATTGCTGGTATTACAAATTACTGATAAAAAATATATATACTTTATAGAATTGTATACTTAAGAAATAAGTAAAGAGAGGAAGAAAAATATATATATTTTTTATCAAGATCTGTCCGTATTTCTGTGCGTAAATATGTCAGTTGCAAATATAGGTCATATATGAATTTGCATTTTTACTAGACTGGCAAATATTCAGTATAATATGTAGATCAAAGCTGAGCCATACGAAGCATATGAAGCATACGCGCTTTCTCTATAACAATTGCACACATTCTTTTCTATTCAAAGAATCGCAATGTCGATTTAACTGTGTTTGAATTGTCATATGCAACGTTTGTTTTTATTTGACTCCTCCAAGCAGAGAACTGACTGTGTTGTAAGCGAAGACTGGCGTCGCCGATGAGTTGTGAGTTGAATTCCTAGGCGTGACAAATCAGGTAAATAATATATCTGGCATATTCCATATCTAATAGTCGTGGATATATAATTTTTGACCAACTCTTAGAAAGAGTATACTGACGTAAAACAGTCAATATATATAACTATATACATATATTTGGACGCAGAACATATCCTTGCTATTTAACTAGAGATTACTAATTTTGAATGTGTTCGTAAAAAATATCTGCAGACTTACTTAGCCACAACCGTAGATATATTGTGTGAAATTGCATCTTCTACAATTTTCAACTAAAACCGTAACACCAGATTCGAAAAATAGCGTCTATGAACAAAATAAGAATTAATGACGCTTAGTGATCTCGTCTGCAAATAAGCATTAAATTGTCAGGTCCAGCCATTAAGGCAAGAAAATACGGAAAATATCTATAAAACTCAATAGACTCCTTCACGAAATAATATTTGACACATAAATTTGGTTGATACGCTTGTGTGATTAATTATCTCCACTACCCTTCTAGGTGGCGATATATAATTTTTTTGTCAGTCCAGTCAGTCTAGTACATCAATAGTTGTAAACATTTCTAGTTTTTCCTGATTTCCAACAATAAAAGATTTTATCAATATAATAGAGGTTAAGCCGGCATTATGCTTAATGCTTAATGCAATAAATGATATGATATATATGATATGATATGATATGATATTCTAGTCTCTTACTTCTGTTCACTTCGTGAACGAGTGTAAAAAAACTACTAATACTTAAAACTATTAGAAAATAAAAACGTTAAATAATACACAAACATGGTGTTCTTATAGTATGATAACAATACTCATTAGCAACGTAAGGAGCACCGCCATTTGGACAGAAGATGGAGATGGAGATGTAATAATGAAGAAGCTTTTTCGTACTGTGAAACGTCATCGTATGATTCAAAGATTGTGATTTTCCGTATCAGTGCGTTGAACGTAAAAAGCTCCATTTACTACATCAAAAAATATTTGAAAACTTGTAATAATATTTGCCGCACCTGAAATAGTGGATTCAGATACGAAATCTTGATGCCGTTAAGCGGACCACACACCAACAAATTAAATTATCTCTAATTACAATATTTTCATAAAATGTTTCTGTAATCATCTTTTTATATTATCTGGACTAGAGTCGACTAGATCAAAATGATTGCACTGTAGCAAAAATGATGTGGAAAATGTTAAATATGAATAAATATGAAGGGGGCGTTGAAAGAATTTTATGTAATACCCACTGGTGCTAGCACAGACAGCAGTGGAACGACGCCCTTTAAAGGCTTGCGTCTTTGCTAAATATGCAAAGAGAGTTGACGATGGCAGGAAGGTGTGGATATCGGATAAGTAGCCCATAACAACGACAGATGGCGCTAATTTGTAGGCAACTGTGCATACCCTAAACTTTGTCATGTATGGTCAATTTCGCAATACCAAATATTAATTTTCACAGTTTATTTGCTGAGCGCATTCGAATCAATTACAAAACTCATATTCAGGATATATTTCTAATTACCAACCGTAATAAGTGTTCATGTACCCGCAGCAACATACACTCTTTAAAGATATTTTTCATTGTATTTCTAGTGCATGTATCTTCCGAACTCATTTAAAAAGGGGTCCGGGATATAATAATTAATATATAATAATATTGTAAAAATGTTTCTAATAGGCAGACACCATAATTTAAAGATCAGGACGGCGAGCTGGGTCGTTCTAACCATATCCGTCTCTACGTGCGTATACACAAGACGATCTCATAAACTGTATGCGACATGCACTACACCATTATACCATTTCTTTATTCTCCGCCATATTGATAATTATAAAACTTAAATTTTGGACTTTGGATACTCTCTTAATTGTTTGAGAATTGGAACGGCTTTTTGTTCTGCAGATGCAATTGCATTGTATAAAAAGATATTCCAAAAGACATTCATTATTATCACTTTAAGTATATTTGTAATGGTACCTAAAAAGTAGTCATATTGAGGATTTACTAATACTAGCTTGCTGTACTTTACCGAGCCCTGCTGCAAAGCTATGGCTTAGGCTAAATGATTGAGCAGTTCTTCGACTGTTGAAAAACAATTGTAATTTTCTATTATATTTGGAATGTTAGTATGTTTCTTCCTGATCATTTTGGAATGTTTCCAAACTGGAGAACCTTTGTCTATGGCTGAAAGAATGATATTCAAAGATTCATTTAGAAATTCTATCATTGCTTTGCTGGTTATCTTTTTTAGTCACTTAAATAGGATGGGATCTGCTTTGTGCTCAAATCTTAGTCTATATATATTTCTATTTTAAATAAGGCTTAAAAAGTTTTGTGGCAGCGGCTTTGGGGAGAATTTTATTTCTTGTTTAAGAATTCTAAAATCTTTTGCTTAATAACCAAATTAAGAGGTATCATGCCCAAGCATTCTTAATCTGTCCCTATATGTGATCGCGTCGATCTCAGTATTTAGATACCGATCCAAAGATACGCATTTTTCTTATTCATGCAGACATACACTTTCTAATGAGTGCATATTTGCTATTTGAGGAATCGCAATTACTACCATATTATGTCACTTTATTATACCTTTCAGCTTTTTGTAATTCAGTCACTTCATATTTAGTTTTCGGCTTTTTATCAGTCACTTCAAATGGCCTTCATCTCTTTGTCAGTAAGTCATTTCACATATTGTTTTCAGATTTTTGTCAGTCAGTCACTTCTTATAAAGCATTCAGCTTTTTGTCAGTCATTTCATAAATAGCAATCAGCTTTTTCTCAGTCAGTCACTTCATATACAGCATTCAGCTTTTTGTCAGTCAGTCACTTCATATATAGCAATCAGCTTTTTGTCAGTCAGTCATATAATTTATAGCAATCAGCTTTTTGTCAATCAGTTACTTCATATATAACAATCAGCTTTTTGTCAGTCAGTCACTTCGTATATAGCAATCAGCTTTTGGCCAGTTACTTCTTATATAGCAATCAGATTTTTCTCAGTAACTTCAAATATAGCAATGAGCTTTTCGTCAGTCACTTCATATATAGCAATCAGCTGTTTGTCAGTCAGTGACTATAGCATTCAGCTTTTTGTCAGTCAGTCACTTCATATACAGCATTCAGCTTTTTGTCAGTCAGTCACTTCATATACAGCAATCAGCTTTTTGTCAGTCAGTCACTTAATATAGAGCAATCAGCTTTTTGTCAGTCAGTGACTATAGCAATCAGCTTTTTGTCAGTCAGTTATTTCATTTATAGCAATCAGCTTTTTGTCAGTCAGTCACTTCATATATAGCAATCAGCTTTTTGTCAGTCAGTCATATCATTTATAGCAATCAGCTTTTTGTCAGTCAGTCACTTCATATATAGCAATCAGCTTTTTGTCAGTCAGTCATATCATTTATAGCAATCAGCTTTTTGTCAGTCAGTCACTTAATATAGAGCAATCGGCTTTTTGTCAGTCAGTGACTATAGCATTCAGCTTTTTGTCAGTCAGTCACTTCATATAGAGCAATGAGCTTTTGTCAGTCAGTCACTTCATATATAGCAATCAGCTTTTTGTCAGTCAGTCATTTTATTTCTAGCAATCAGCGTTTTGTCAGTCAGTCACTTCATATAGCAATCAGCTTTTCGTCAGTCATATATGGGAATCAGCCATTGGTCAGTCAGTCATTTCAATTTATAG